TCGATGCTGAGTCGCTCCTTACCGTGTGCCAGCGGTGCGGCCCCTACTCTGAAGACAAGCGGCACGGGCTCCGAGGTGGATGTGAGGAACGCGTCCAAAGGACGTGTGCCCGGAATCTGCGGGGGCGCTTCTGTCGGGCGGCAGTCCTCCCAAGAGCAGCTTGAAGGCCGCCCCCCCGACTTTCCCGGCCGATCCCCGATGCCCGGCGCCTCAGGGAAGGAGCCAAGAAGGCAGGCCGGCTGAGAGCGCCAATGGAGATCGGATGCTTCAGGGTTTCGATCAGGGCCGGGTCGACCTAACCCCAGCCATCCCTCATAGCCTGTGATGGTCTCTCTCCTGCTTTCAATGGAGATCGGATGCGTCAAGGTTTCGATCAGGGTCGGGTCGACCTAACCCCAGCCTTCCCTCACAGCCTGTGATGGTCCCTCTCTCCTGCTTCCCCCGCTCCTCCTCCCCCAGCGGCTGCGAAGGCACATGGGCAGATAGCTTGGCCGTGCTGCTTTCCTCGTCACAGGCTTCTTGGGGACCTCATTTGCCAGCCTCGACCTGATCCCTATCCCTAAGATGGGTGAGCAACAAGCGAGGACAATCTTGAGGATGTGCCCTCAGAAAGCGAGGGCATCCTGAAGATCGGCATCCGAGGCGAGGTGATGCCAAGCACAGGGGTAGGGATATGTTTCAAACTGGTAACTCATGGGGCTTTCAAGGAACTCTTCGGAGAATCTGGTCCCAACCTTTCCGAACATCTCCGGCCTTCGCCTTCATCATGGGGGTCTTCCTCCAGGGTCGGCGGCACCGGCCGCAAGGCCTCTACAGTCCGGACCGTGCGCGGACGCCCCGTGGGCACTCTGCACTGGCTGGTGATAAGGGCGGCGAGTGTGCGCTCACACTGTCCGCTCTGCGGAGCCCTGCCACGCCTGGCAGGACAAAGTCTGGACCGTGAGCGGGCGCCCCACGATCACTTCGCAACGGTTCTTGACAGGGACGGCGGCGGTGTCCTCAAGAGCTCCGCTGTGCGCAGACCCACCGTCCCTGTCAACACACCGTGCGGAGTACACTGTGCGGCTAAACCTGGCTCGTGCGCGGGCGCCCCGCGATCCAGTTGCACTGGTGTTTGACTGAGGGGACGGCAAGGGGTGCCGCCATCTTGACTGCTCCGTCCAGTCTCGCGACCCCTGACAGAAAATCAAAAAACACTTTGCGGCAAACTCCCACTAGCCCTTTGAGCGGCGCGAGTGGTTTAGAGCGCTTCCTCTTCCAACCCCCTTCCCTCTCTTTCGGAGAGTGGTTTAACTCTCCCCCTACCCCCTACCTCAGGACCTAGACGAAGGATTTCGCGACCCATGAGGGCGTCCAAGAAGGCCTCGGCGAAAAAACACACATCATTTAGTTCCACTACGATTTTGGACATTTCGGCCTCGGGGGGGGGGATGGAAAATCATACCCCCCCCTTCTTTGATCGATCTCTCCCGAGACGGCCCCAAGATAGCCCAAGGCTGCCAAGGGTGCCCCAAGACGGCCCCAAGAGGGTCCCAAGAAGCGCCCAGGAGGCCCCAGGAGGCTCCAAGGGATCCCCGAGAAGCTCCCCAGAGAGCTCCAAGAGGCCCCAAGAGGCTCTGCCGAGGCATCCACGACGCTCCACGAGGCATCTGGGACCGCCAAGAAGCCCCCAAGGCGCTCCATTATGACCACACGGGCATATCAAGAGACATCCGGAAAGACTCCGAGAAACATCCAATACGCCCGCTGCTTCCTCCTCCTCCTCGTCGTCATCATCATCATCATCAGCATCAGCATCATCATCATCATCATCATCATAACCACCACCATCATCATCACCATCATCATCCTCATCCTCATCCTCATCATCATCACCATCATCATCAGCATCAACATCCGCATCATCACCACCACCACCATCATCATCATCATTATCACCAACATAATATTCAGCATCAGCGTCATCGTCAAACTCATCACCATTATCATCATAGTCATCACCATCACCGTCATCATCATCAGCATCATCATCATCATCGTCATCGTCATCATTATCATCACCATCATGATCATGATCATGATCATGATCATCATCATCATCATCACCATCACCATCACCATCACCATCATCATCATCATCACCATCATCATCATCACCATCGCAATCGTCATCATCATCGTCATCATCATCATTATCATCATCATGATCCACTTCTTCCTCATCCGCCTGCTCCTGCTCCCCCTCCTCCTCCACCCTCCTCCCTGCTCCCTCCTCCCCCTCCCCCTCCCCCTCCCTCTCCCCCCCCTTTCCTCCTGCGATTCGTCCTCCATCCTCCCCCTCCTCGTGCACGTTGGCTCCCCCCGCCCTTCATTCCACTGCTTGCCCCTGCACAGCCCTGGTCAGGGCAACTCAACTGGGCATCGCTGCTGTATGGGCTGGTCGGGTAATTTGTTTTTTGATTCGCGGCCCGCAAGGAAAAGTCCAGAGGGCGGTCAGAACGAGGCTGGGGCACAGCGCACGATGATTAGCGCGAGAACGCGCGGAATGCACATGCAAGACGATTAGGCGAGGCGGCCACAGGTGGGCAACCACAAGCCGGACCCGCAGGTGGGGCCGGGTCGGAACCCTGCCGGAGTGCAGCAGAGGCGAGTCGGCCACGGATGGGCAGACCAGGTGGGGAGGACAGAGAAGGCAAAAAACCGGACGCTGAACGTGTGCCAGCGAGCGTAGGGGGGAGCAAAAAAAGGGACGGACCCGCAGGTGGGGCAGGACTGCCAGGCAAGCCAAACCGTCACTCACTTGGACGTCGGCCAGCCTGCACGCATCAGAGGGGAGTGCAGCCAACCTCCATGGGAGCGACCAAGAGAGCCCTCGTACCAGAGCGGTGAGCGTCTTGTGCATCCTGAAGGCACTCCTGTGACTGCAGCGGACGTCTCTGGTAGGGTTTTTTTTGTTGTTGTACAGCCGCAGGCGGAAGCGCCGGCGGCGGCGGGTCACGGTCGGGCTGCGGCCGTAACAAATTAGCCGGGCGCGCGCGGGGGCCGCGGATCAGGCGGCGGTGCAAGCTGCAGCCCAGGGAGTCGAAGCCTGGATCAAGCGCGGGCGCCACGCGATTACTTTGCAATGGTTCTTGACCCGGACCGTCTGCTCGTGAGCTCAGTGGGACCAGGGCCCCAGGCTCGGATGCTGGCTACGTGTTGGGAGGGCGGGTTGAAGTGAGCGACGCGGCTTGCGGCTGGGGGCAACTCCCCAGGGGCGCGCGGCGCCCCAGGCACGCGTGGCGCACCTACGCCGGACGCCATCTGCACTGCGACGCTCTGTCAGTGCTTTGCGTTGCCTTGCGTGGCTCTTCGCGGAATCTGCAATTTCTTGTGCGTATCGCGGTTTTCAATGCACTTGACTTGCACTGCGCTCCACTGCACTGCAGCACAAGTCTTGTCAACTCAAGCGCCACTGAGCAAGCGAAGCACCGCAAAGCAAAGCAACACGACACACCGCAACCACAGACAGACAAAAGCAGTTCGAAGCAACGCGCACCAATGTAAGTGCAACGCATCTGGTTCTGATCCGAATACAATGTCAACGCACGGCGAAATACAGCGTACCACATAACAGGTGGTAATGTGCTTACGATTCTGGCACGGGTTTGACTTGTTCTCTGTTTCGGCTTGTCGTTAGTCGTATGGCATTTTTTAGAAATGTATTTATACAGCTATTTACTACCACCCTCCAAACTCACCTCACACGGTGCCATCACACAGTTTATGTGACGTGCATGGCTTGGGTGACGCTGCGCACAAGGAGCTTTTTGACGCCCCCTCTCCAATGTCAGTCATCGTGGAACTTCCGAATCGCACCCGCCCAGGCCGCGTTTCGCTCTGCTTCGGCATTGAAAGGGGCGACACCGAGTGGGTGAGAAAGAGCGACGTTGAAGAGGCACGTCAACCACTCTTGAAATCAATATTGTCGAAGGTGGCAGATCGAAAGTGTCTCTCAGGATCAGTCATGGCGAAGGAGAGGACGGAAGGAGATGCCCCTTCCCACCTCCCTCTCCTCTCCCCCGCCCCTGGCGAGGCACATTATCTTCTTTTGTCCCCTGCCCTTCTGGGGTCTTCGGCGGGGGAACGGGTCTTCCTCTTCGATCGATATTCAGTCGCGCGTCGTTGTCGCATTGGCCTGGTTCCAGGCCGCCCGCGGCCCCTGCACCTGCCCGTCAGATCGGTGCCGAGCACGCCCCGCGCGAAGCCGTCGTCGAGCAGAGCGCCCCCCCGCCCCTCCTCCCCGCAGGCTCTGGGGCACCTCCAGGGGGGGGGGGGGGCACCACTGTAGGAGGGCGTCGCCACTCCCTCGAGGGAGCGCCATGTCCTCGAGGCGGCGGGTCCCCCAACAAGAAGAAAACTCCAGAGGGCCCCGCCCCAAACCTCCCAGGAACCTCCTCGATCTTCGATGCTGGGGCATCGACCCCAGGATGGGTCGGTGACACCCCTGGTGGCTGGAGGCGGCCAGGGGGTCTGAACTGGAGGGGGCTCCGAGAGATCGATCATGCGGGGGGGGGGTCGAGGCCAAATCCAGTCGACTCGGTCCCTGGACCTCTCGCGGGGTCCATCTCGAGCAGCTCTTCGCTTTGCATCCGTTTCTGACGGTCCCGGGACCCGAAAACGGTCCTTCCGGCTCCAACCCCATATCCCTGACTCCGGATCCGCCCTACTTTGGCATTTCTCCCACCTCAAAATTGCGTCGGAAATCCACCTATAAGAAGCCGAAAAAGTAGGGCGGAAATTTCTGCACCCAACATAAAACAGGGCGGAAATCCACAGGAGTCGGGCGGAAACAGCCACAGAAAAGTATAGGGCGGAAAGCGGCACCAGCGGGGCTTGAAAAGTAAGGCGGGAATTCCAAGCCCTACTTACGATTCTCCCCAAAGTAGGGCGGATCCGGAGTCAGGGTTGGTGACCCCTCGGCACTGCTGCCCGCGGCTCCCGGGCCCCGGGGCGGCGACCCGCGGCGGCTCCGCTGCCCTGCTCCGGGGCGGCCAGGGCGGCCGAGGCCCGGTCGGTCGACGCCGTGGCCGCGGCCTGCTCCTGCCGCTGCATGGCCAGCAGCGCCTCCTGCCCGCGGCGGGGGCTCACGAGTGCTCGGAGGCTGCTGGGCGTCACTTGAGGGGAGGAGGGGAGGGAGGAGGAGGAGGAGGAGGAGGAGGAGGAGGAGGAGGAGGGAGGAGGAGGAGGAGAGGAGGAGGAGGAGGAGGAGGAGGAGGAGGAGGAGGAGGAGGAGGAGGAGGAGGAGGAGGAGGAGGAGGAGGAGGAGAGAGGAGCAGAGGAGGAGGAGGAGGAGGAGGAGGAGGAGGAGGAGGAGGAGGAGGAGGAGGAGCAGGGAGGAGGAGGAGGGGGGGCGGGAGGCGATAAATGGGGTGAGGGGGAGAAACGTGCACCTTCCGTGCCCCTGGTGGGCCCCCCCGTCGGAGGGGCTACGAGTGCTCGGAGATGGATGCTTCCAAAACTTGGGCTCCCGCAGTTGCGGGTAAGAGTGAGAGGGCGGCGGGGTCGTCGGCAGTCTGCGCGAGGCCCCGAAGAAGCCCGCCGCAGGCGCCAACTTGTCTTTCACACATTACATAACGAGGCCGCCGCAGGCGCCGAATTTCTCTGGGACCACAACAACACAAATGTTGCAACTGTTCGATCTTCTCTGCACGCGTGTCACTCCACATGCATGTCCCAAACCCACGGTACCCGCCCTCTTCGTCTTCGATCGTACCCCCTTTGAGGTGTATCTCTCTTACCTGCCGCGTGTAACTGGCACAGCCCCTGGACCAGGGGAGTGGAGGGAGGAGGGAAGGGGCAAAAGGCTGGGCGGGTCGGGCAGGCGGGCCCCGACGGCCGGGCCGGCAACAGCGCGATTCCCAAGCAGATCGTGAGGAAGTCCAGAGCGGGAGCACGGTTCCTGAGTGTCGGGGGCACGGCGTCTCAACAACATGCGAGGAAGTCTCATGCGAGAGCGCGATTCCTGAATACAATGTGAAGATGTCACGCGCGAGAGAGAGCGACTCTGAATAAGTTGTGAACAAGATCTGGCGGACACCGTTGTTATGGTAGTCTGGATGCCAGCAACGAATTATGATGCTCAAGACTTTCCCGTGAACAAAAGAAATGCGAGCCCCAGGATGGGGTACTTCAATCGGAAAAAAACGGGTGCACCAGAGGGGACCAACTGTATTTTCCAAAATGGATAATTAATTCAACAATCAGCTAACACCGTTCGCTCTCATGTGCTCGCGTGTAACTCAACATGTAGATCCCAAGCCGTCGATACTAGCATCCTTCGTCTTCAATCATATCCGCTGGGTGTGTATATCTTCCTTACCTATCACGAGTAGTTGGCGCAGCCCCATGGAACAAGGGCAGGGCGAAGGGACGAGACAACGGGGAGGGAGAAGGATGGAACACGACACAGATTAGCAGGAGGGCTGTTCGGAACAGAAGAACAAACACCATAACCAAACGGGCGGGCAGGGCCTACCGTTAGGTCGGGCGTGTCCCCCGACAGGCGGATTTTGGAGGACAAACTGAAAAAGTATTAAGATAATTCAGGCATAATCAAATAGCTCGAAGAAAACATCGCCCCAGATTATTTTGACTATTTTTGAATATTCCGCCTGTAGGGGGACATGCCCGACTTAAGCCCTCTGGGCACGTCTGGCGGGCAGGCCCAGACGGCCGGGTCGAGCGGGCGGGTCGGTGAAGCCTCAGGCCTGCAGGGATCGCGAAGCAATCTCGAGCTGTAGCGCGACTCCCAAACAGATAGCGAGGAAGTCCACGACGAGAGCGCGAACAGTGGGTGTCGAGGGTGCGGCGCCCGAACAAATTGCAGGGAGGTCCCAAGCGAGAGCAACATTCCAACACACAGTGTAAGGATGTCCCGCGCGAGAATGCGATCATGAACGAATTGCGAAAAGATGCCGACGAACGACCGAAGCAAGCCAGAATCGACACCGAATCGACGTGAACACTGACGGGCCGATGTGCTTTTTGGGTGGAGCCTCTGTCCTTGTAAACTGGGGGCCAGGGGCACAGCCTCAGGCGCAGGACTTCCGCATGACGAACAAGGTGCGAGCCCCGGGAGGGGCACACAGATAATGGGCACTTGAGGTGAAGATGAGCAATCGAAACCAAGTGCCCTAATTAGCCCGCCCAACCTGCCAACCCATCCCAACCAACCAGCCAGCCAGCCAGCCGAATTAGCCACCTTGCCCCAGCCAACCCTCAAACCAGCCCAACAAACCACCCCGCCACCCCGTCAACCAGCCAACCAGTCAGCCATCCAGCTCAACTAACCACCCCGTCACCTCGCCAACCCGCCAACCCCGGCTGCCTGCCCTCCGTTACCGCCGAAAGGAAGGGAGAAGTGCTTCTTAGCATCGCACACGAACAAACAAACACCTCCTGGGGTCTAGTGGTGCTGCCGTAGTGTGAGGTATGCCTGTTAGTTGTGCCTCAAGTGTGACACTGTCGTCACCGGGGCCCCTTTCTCAGCGGGCTTTCAAGGCACAGCGTGTGGTTTCTAAGAGAGCCGCCCGGATGGTCAGGGGACGTCAAATCGTACTGCAACTACGGGGACCGCACGCTGGAAGGAATTTGTTTCGGGCGCCGCTGGGTGTCCTAGGAGGGTCTCCTGGGGCAGGAGCCCTGGGCAACCCCAGGGGGACCCAGGAAGCCCTCAGCGACCCCGAGCATTCCCGGGAGGCCTCTGGGGATCCCAGGAGGTTCCTGGAGGACTCGGGAAGCGCCAGGAGGCCTCGGAGGACTGAGGCGGCGCCAAGAGACCCCAGGATGCCTCAGGAAGCCCCAGGAGGCCCCAGGAAGCCCCAGCAGGCCCCAGGAGGCTCCAGAACGCCCCAAGGGGCTCCAGGAAGCTCCAGGAGATCTCAGGACGTTCCAGGAGGCCACAGGAGTCCACAGGAGTCCGCAGGACGTCTAATGAGGGTCCAGGCGGCCCCGCGAGGTCCCAGAAGATCCCAACAAAAAGCCCCAGCACCCTGAACACCCAGGAGCAGGAGGAGGAGGGAGGGAAGAGGCGGATGGAAGGAGAGCGGAGGGAATGAGAGAGGGAACGGAAGCGGAGGAGGGGAGGGAGGACGAGGAGGAGGAGGAGGCAGAGCGTTCAACAGAGGTCGAGGAGGAGGAGGAGCAGGAGGAGGAGGAGGAGGAGGAGGCTTTTCAACATCAACCGCCGAGGAGTGCCAGCCACCTGGATGAGGCAGCACTGTGCATGAAACAGCTGCAGGAGGCATGTGGGGCAGCGTGCAGAAGACACCATCGCCTCGCACCAGCACCTAGGCGACGGAGCCACAGGTGCCCAGCACCGCCTTCCAGAGCCAGGAGGAGGGCGGGGCCACTGCACCCGCCCAAGGGGAAAAAGAAAACAACAAAGGCCGTCCCAGACTAGGCGGGATCATCCACCAGCGGCCCAGACTGCAGAGGGGCGCCGCTCTTGGGGTGCCTCCCCTTCATGATTTGTGGCCATGCGTAACGTCGACCGTGGTCCCCTTTTGCTACAGGGTCGGGCGGTCCGACACATGCCTTGCGTAGGTTCCTGACTTGGCCACCACTAGTGTAGTAGCAGCAACGGGCGCAGGAGACAGGGATGCCAGCGCCATCAGTCACATTGAAGAAAATCGGTCGGTGCCCGTGGTCGATCAGACTTTGGCCAGTTAAGCCCCTAATGGAGGAAACGCCGCCGCAGCGTCCCAGAGGGGGCTTGGGGGAACCACGGGCACACCGAAAACAAAACGCACAGCTCCAAAACCTAGCTTCCCAGTGCCAGTCGTGGGGGGGCAGAGGAGGAGGCCTGGGAGCAGAGGAGGGTTTGGTCCAGGGGACTGGGGAAAAATCCAACCTGGGCCAGAGCGACATGACACGGGCTGCCAGCTTGCACACACCACGGGAAATCCGCGTCGCACGGGCCGCACGCTCGGCTTCGGCTTGATCGCAGCCTGGTCAGCACAATCATTACCAAACTTGTGGGCCTGAGCCTCTGGAGACAGGTCAGGGCTCTCTGGCACATGGCCCTCGACCTTGCTGACAGAACTGAAGGCGGCGGAGGAGGAGGAGGAGGAGGAAGGAGGAGGAGGAGGAGGAGGAGGAGGAGGGAGGACGGAGGAGGAGGAGGAAGAGGAGGAGGAGGGTCGCCCTGCTCCCAAGTTCGAGTGCGACGAGACACTTGGATTGGAGAGTGACCCAAGAGAGGAAGAGATGCCCATACCGCTACCCTTATCTCGTTTTCCCCGTTCTGGGCATCGTGGGAGGCCCTCGTCGCCACCGCTGGATTCGCCTCAAAGTCTTGGTCAGAACGCAGCCCGGGAGAGGTCCAGGGAGTAGCGGTATCAGTACCTTTTGGCTTTCCCAGTGACCGTTGCACAGTAGGGCTACTTACAGCCGCGGCGTCTCACGAAGCACGGCCAGCTGGGAGGCGCTTGCCAATGAGGAGGAGGAGGAGGAGGAGGAGGAGGAGGAGGAGGAGCAGCAGCAGCAGCAGCAGATGGAAGAGAAAGAGGATGATGATGATGATGATGATGATGATGATGATGAGGAGGAGGAGGAGGAGGAGGAGGAGGAGGAGGAGGAGGAGGAGGAAGAGGAGGGGGGAGGAAGAAGGAGGAGGAGGAGGAGGAGGAGGAGGAGGTCCCCAGACGCCTCCGGGGGGGCAAGCGCATCAGTTTTCCGAGCCGCGCCCGGCCCATCGGCGGCGAGTCCCCCGCCTCGAAGCCGACCGCCGCAGTCTCCACTCGCGCGCGGCGTCCTGGCGCCGCGCGCGAGCAAGAGGCCCAAGATGTGTCGACGCGCCCGAGGGGACCACGCCGACACCCCAGCCCCCCTCGAGTAACAAAGAAATCATGACGGGAGGTTTTTTTCGCCATTTTCAGCCTCTATGGGGCCCTTACAGGACCTCGGGACTGTCAAGAAACGCTTCGGGATTGAAGGACCAGTCCCGGGGAATGGGTCGAGGCCTGTTGGGGTCGACGTGATGGAAAACATCATGACGGCGGGGGTCTGGGACCACGGCAAACCCGCGGCAAGTGGCAAGCCCTGCGCCCCGCGCCCCAAGGAGACGCAGCCGGCGCCGCGGCAGACCCCACGGCAGGCCCCGCGTCCGAGGCGGAGTTTGCCCTGATGGCCGCGGCGCCCTCCGGAAGACAGAAGGGCGCGCGTCGGAATAAAAGGTGCGGCGACGTATTGCGCTTTCTCTAATTCCCAGTAGCGGTCGTTATCTGCGGAAAGAGCAAGCGACCACAGCCACATCGAGGACGAACCCGGGGGGGATGTCTTGCGCATGCCAAGCATGGTCGAAACACCGAAACCAGCTTCGCACTAGTTTTGGTCGATGTGGCGTCCCAGGACGGCCGAATCGACCACAACCACAACCAGAATGCTCACGTCAAACATTCAACTCGGTTGTGGTTGTGGTTCTTTGCGGTGCCCAGGCTGCACGGGGAAAGGGGGGAGGATAGGCGGTGGACAAACCTCCCTTGAGCAAACCTCCCCTTAGTGAAAGCGGCCTGGGACCGAAACCGACGGACCTGGACCCGCAAAAATGACGGCCGCGACGCCCTCGCGCGAGCCGACAACGGCCAATTCCTGAGTCGACGCGTCAAGGCAGGAGGTCTGCCCACCCCCGAAGAGGGTCGTGGCAGCGTGCGGGCGGGGTGGGGCACGAAGGGGCGGGGGCGCGCTGCGACCGCCACCGCCCGCGCGCGAGACCCCAGCCATGCGGGGGGGGGGGGGGGCGTCGAAGGCCCCCTGCATGACGTGCGCTTGTCCCCCATTGACCCCTGGGACTGGGCAGGCAAGCCCAGGTGGCGACCACTGCGCGCCAGGAGCGGACAAAGTGAACCCCTCGTCTTTAGCTCTGGTCGCTCCACTCATGCGTGGATGCTGCGTCGAAGGTCCGTCGACTCGAGTCGAGCTTTGGTCGAGCTGGAGCCGAGCAAGACTGCTGGGTGGGCCCCAGGAAGATCCCCCTCAGGGGCATGGCGGCCAGAAAAAGCTGTGAAACAAGTGTCCTGAGGGAAACGGGTAGCGAGATGTTTCGCCGTCTTGGGACTTGTCAGGAAACGACACGGGACGAAAGCTGGTCCTGGGGGAAAGCTCCGGGGTCTAGGACCACTTGCCCTCAGGACCCGTCTGCTGAACGCAACCCCGTGGCCTCCCTAATTTTTGTTGTGGCTCCGAGGGGGAATCGGTCAGCATCGAATCCGGAAACCGCATCGGATCGGAGCGAGCGTTGGCATCGCAGCGCATCAACATGGACTCATTATCGAATCGGCCGCGCCAGGATGCAGAACAGCAACGTGAGAACATCAAGCCCCAGGAAGACCGCATCACAAGCCCATGAATTCAGGCCCAGGCGTTCCGGATGGTTCCCGCGACCACCAGAAGTTCTCTCGCTCTCTCTCTCTCTCTCTCTGTCTCTCTGCATCTCTGGCGACGGTGGACTGGCGTAAGCAGCTCGAACCAGAAAACCCAACCGACTCGCAACCAGCCAGAAGATGCCGCCAAGGCTAGAAGAAGAACGAACGCATAGGCATAAACTTTTTAGCGCTCCGCGCGGATTTCTTGGATCTGCACTGGACCCCCCTCCCTGGCACGCGGGGCGCGCCAGGGGCGGCGCCGGAGGCGCAGCCGGGGGGGCGCAGCGCAGATCCAAGATATCCGCGCGGAGCGCCAAAAGTTTATGTTTATGGCGTCTGCTCTTCTTCGACGCACGCGTGGAGGCTAGCTCTATCGACTCGCCATCGCTCGAACGTCCCTTCCCCGTGCATTGTATTGTTCGGTGTCGTGCACGTCTTTTGTCGCGAGGTGGCCAACAATGGTCCCCGATGGTCCTCGCCGAGCACAGATTCACACGTCCGAGCGATGCAGAGAGAGCTCTATCAAAAGCAGTATTGGCGGCGCGCACAAGGGGGTGGGGGGAGGGAGGAGGGCTTCTTAGAAGCAGGCTGCCTCTTAGAAGGCGCCGGCCTTTCATCTATAGATGAAGCCCGCGCCCTCTAAGAAGCAGGGATGCTTCTAGGAAGCCCTCCCCCTTCCCCCCACCCCCCTCTGCGCGTGGCTGACACCTCCAGGGGGGGGGGGGGCACCACTATAGGAGGGCGTCGCCACTTCCTCGAGGGAGCGCCCTGTCCTCGAGGTGGCGGGCCGGCGGGCCCCTCCAAGAACACTCCAGAGAGCCCCGCCCCAGACCTCCCAGGAACCTCCTCAATCTTCGATGCTGGGACATCGACCCCAGGATGACCTGGGGGGTGCTGGGACATCCACCCCCCTCTGCGCGTGGCTGGAAGTACGCGCAGAGATCTTTCGCGCCGCCCTGCCTGGCGGCTACGAAAAAAAAACAACTCGGGGCCTCGCGGGCGGGCGGCGGGCGCCGGAGCCGAGGCGGAGCGAGGCGGGCGGCTGCCAGCTTGCAGCGTGCCCGCCTCCCTGCCTGCTCTCCTCCTTCTCCGGTCTCGCCTCCTCGTCCTCCTCGCCCTCGTCCTCGTCCTCGTCCTCCTGCTCCTCCTCCTCCTCCTCCTCCTCCTCCTCCTCCTCCTCCTCCTCCTCCTCTCCCTCCTCCTCCTCCTCCTCCTCCTCCTCCTCCTCCTCCTCCTCCTCCTCCTCCTCTTCCTCCTCTGCTTCACAGTCATGATGCGCTCTGTTTTTTCTGCTTCAGTCGGGTGCTTTGCCTTGGTGTGCAGCATCATGCTCGCAAGGGTGCCAATTGCTCACTCTTCCGCCCGCGCGTCCTGACCGGAAACCCGGCCCAGTGGCGATAGTAGCGCCAAAGCGCGGTGCCAAGGGCTGGCGCATGGCTTCTGTACTGCGTCGTCTCTTCCCGTTCGATCGCTGCTGTCCCTCGTCGTCCTCCTCCGCTGCTCCCGGCTCCTCGTCTTTCCGCTCCCTGTTGCCGCCTTGCGTGGAGCGCAGGGCGCGCGCTTCGCGTGGGAGCGGCTCGCTGCTGGAGGAGGGAGGCGGGGGCCCTGATCAATGGACATGGATACTGTAATTTTTGGTCGCGACGGACGAGATCGGTAGCGACAGATCGGTACTCAAAGTCGGTCACGACCGATCGGTCGCCATCGGTCGCAGCCAGTCCCGACCGATTTTGGGATCGGTCGCGATCGGTCGCGACCGATCTGGACTGCCAATCGGTCGCTACCGATCGCGACCCAAAAAATCTGGTATCTAATGATGTGGTGTCCCTCTCCCCCAGACCCCCTCGAGTCATGACAAAAACACGGCGCGAAGTGTTCTGCTACTTTCCGCCTCTGGGGGCCCTTACAGGACTTCGGGGCCGTCGCAAGACGACACAAGGTGAAAAGCGGGTGCATTGGGAACGGGTCGAGACCTCCTGGGGGTCGACACGCTGAATCAGATCATGACGTCAGGGGTCCGGGCCCCAAGATTGACGCCGCTCTGTGTCGGTGCCGACCTGAAGCATTCGCCCACCTTCTGCAGGCACATCCCCAAACTTTGCCACCCAAAACAGGGCTAGGATCGGGATAAATCGCTCCAGAGCGTTCCGGAGCGCTCTCAGAGCGTTCCGGAACGCTCTGGAGCGGCCGCGGCGCCCACTACATCCTCCAAACCCGCCGATTCTCAGAGATTTCGAATTCTCCCGATCCGATTTTGTCCCGATCTTCGCGTCGTTTTGCCACCGCCCTGTGCCTGTCGATCCCAGGGCCGGGGATGAGCTCGACGGCGGCCCGGCGGCCGGGCGGGGTGGGCCCCCCCTCGCGCGCGGCAGAGGGCCGAGCGGACCCATCACCCCCGACGGCACGATGCTTGGCATGACGTCGACGCCCAGGGAGGGCTCGACCCCCTCCCCGGGACCGGGGTTTACCAGCCTCGAGCGTGTCCCTATCCCTAAGATTGCCACGCCAAAAGGCGATGACCATCTTAGGGATTCGCCCTCCCCAAAAAAGGGGATCCCTGAGATTGGCATCATGATGAGGAGATGCCCAGCATAGGGATAGGGATCTGTTCCAGGCTGGTAAGGGATCTCCTCCCGCGCCGCTTCTGAACGCTCCCGAGGCCGGGCACGAGGGCCCCCCATGGGGGGCCGAGAGGGGCGACAGACCTCCCGAGCCGTGAGCTCCGTCGCTGCTCGAGGCTTGCCGTCGCTCGGACGTCCATTTCCCGTGCATTTTCCGGTTTCGTGCGTGTTTTTTTTGCTCGATGGTCCAGGATGGTCCTCGATGGTTCTCGCCGAGGAAAATAATGCACACGTCCGAGCGATGCCGAGGAGGGGGCTTGCCGAGGGGGGAGCCGGCGGGCGTCCTCCAGCCGCTCGGCGTGCTCCCTGTGGGTGAGCGTCTGCTGCCGCAGCACCTCCGCGCGGGCCTCGGGGCGAGAAGCGGGCGGGCGCGCCCGCGGAGCGGGCGGCGCGGCGGCCCCCCGGGCGCGCCGAGGGCGGCGGCGCGGCGGGGGCCGCCGCCACGGCCCGAGGGCGCGCGCCAGGTCGGCGAGTCGGCGGCGCGGGTGGTCCGACGGCCAGCCGTGGTCCGGCTTCTTGCCCAGACCCCCTCGAGCAAGGAAAAAAGAAAAATCACAACGGGAGGGTGTGTCGCCACTTTCGGCCTCTGGGGGCCCTCACCGGGCCTCGGGAGCTGCAGAAAACGGCTCGGGAGGAAGAGCGGGTCCCGGGGAGTGGGTCGAACCCTCTGGGGGTCGACGTCTTGCAAAACTCAGGACGCCGGGGGTCTGGGTAATCACGGGGAGGTCTTCGCAGAGGGATCCAGGAGAGATATAAGCCCCTTTAAGGGGGGGGCCTGCAGCGCCGGGTTCGGCCGCGGACTGAGCGGGACTTGCCCGGATTATCGGGAGCGGCCAAGAGGGGGGTGTCCAAGAGGGGGGGGTGCAAATAATGACCGGCGGCATGTGCGCGGTCCAGCGGGGGGCCCAGGGACGTAATGAAATAAGGAGAGGCGCCATGAAATCTTGGGAAATATCATGACCCCCGCCATGATATCCCCCCCCCGAGATTCAGCGGGCCAGCCCGAGCAAGCGGGCTGAAGCCGGATGCGGCCAGATGTCGGACCAGGGCGAAGTCGGAGCTGGCCCTCCCAGAAGCCGCGCCCGGAGCGGTCCTCTTGGCGATGGGGCAGGGCGGCGATCTGCCCGGCCAGCAAGCCCGCCGCAGCAGATCCCGTGGTGCGCACGCGGCCCTCTGGAGCACCGTCGGGGCAGCCGTCCTCGCCATCGCTCGGACGTCCATTCCGCCCGAGCATCGCGGGCACCACCTCTCTCGCCCCGCGCACGCAGCCTCGCCTCGCTCGCACGCACGACACACACACACACGACACACACACACACACGACACACACGACACACACACACACGACACACACGACACACACACACACGACACACACGACGCACACACACACGACATCGAAACCGATGTCCCGATTGGGGGGACTCCGTCGTCAACTCGGTCTCACTCACGAGCCTCCGGCCTACCAGATTCGATCCAGCACGAGGGCTGCACGTGTGTGCAGCTTCCTCTGCGTTTGTGCGCGCGTGCCTTCTGCGTGGTCCCTCCACAAGAACACGTGACGCCTCTGAACGCACCCTGCGCGGAACACATCATAAGCTCGCAAGTATGCGTGGCCACGGCCTCAATCGAAAGAACCAGAGGCACTCATCGCAGACCCTGTCTGGAGACGATTGGCCAAGAGCCAGGAGGGACGTGCGCCCGAATGACACAGGTGAACTAATTGACTAAAGCCTTACCGACGAACACAGCCTACTGTCGTTGGGCCTTCCCGCAGCCCTGCGCACACACACATTATGATTGCAGCGCGTCGCTGCCACGGAATCCCGAACGCACGCCGCGGACTTGTCGGGCGAACGGGGATCGGGCGAGCCCCGGCACGCGTTTGCGCATCTTCGCGAGCCCGCTAGTCCCAGACCCCCGAGGTCATGATTTTTCCATGACGTCGACCCTCAGAGGTCTCGACCTCCCCCTGGAGTGATTTTTCATCCCGAGTAGATGTTCAACGGTCCCGAGGCCCAGTGAGGGCCCCCGGAGGCCGAAAATTATATAAAAAACAAAAAAAAGAACACCTCCCGTCGCGATTTTTTCATCACTCGAGGGGGTCTGGGTTGCGCATCTTCGCGAGCCCGCTAGTGGGAGGTCCGTGAACGTCTCCACGGTCTCCTTCTGCGCGGCCTTCAGCTGGGCCACGATCTCCCCCAGCCGTGTCTCGCACCTGGCAGTGGGGCGGGGGCAGGCATGCCCCGACGGTTAAGGCCGGGAGGAGGGCAAGACGGCGAGAGGGCAGGGGAACGGCTCCCCAGACCCCCGACGCCATGACTCTGTGAAGACGTGGACGCCCCAGCGGTCTGCACCCACTGTGAGCGTTTTCTTATTCGGCGTTTCCACCTTGGGCGGAAGGGGGGGGAGCGGGGGGTCTGGCTCCAGACATCTGCTTCACGCGACTGCTCGCAACGGTGCGTCCCATGGGGGAGGGACTCCACCTGCTCGAAGCAGGCACCAAACACCGCCAAGATCTACTCCGTGGGGGGGGGGGACGGGGGGGGGGGTACGAGGGCCCGCGCCGATCGGCCAAAACAATGAGTATGAAAGCGATCACACTCCCTGGCACCGGTGCTTCCTCCCGGATCGTCCTGCGACGGTCCCGAGGCTCGGCGAGGGCCCCCAGAGGCCGAGGATTGCCGCAAGCCTCCCGTCGTGGTTGCTCCCTGGCCCGAGGGCGTCGAGGCCGCGGGGCGGGAGGGGCGCGCGTCTCTTAATTTTCCTCCCCCGGCGCTGCCGTGGCCCGACGGGGGGCCCGTGAACGACCATCGCGCAGAGGGGCGGACCGGCGCGCGGAGCCCTGCGGGCTCGCCGCAAACGGCCACCTCGGGCACGCCGCGCGCGCGCCCGAGAGCGCTCCGATGCCGGCGCAGACGCCGGACTTGTGATGCTTACTCCGGGTTTCTGAACAAGCGTGGGGGGGGGTACCCCCCCGACGGGGGTCCACGGGACAAACACGGGACTACATGGGACAACCGCGGGACAGCCGCGGATCAACCCCGCGCACGCCCCCGAAGGCTGGGCACCGATTCATTTTGGCGTGACCAGTCCACGGCTGTTGCATCTACTCGCGCTGCTTTGCGTCGCTAACTCTCGGGACAAGAACCGAAACCGAACCCCAGCTTCCCAGTTGGACGACTCCATCTGTACGTTGGGCTCGCTCCCCGAGCCTCCGATCTGGCTCCTGGGGGCGTCGCGAGTGAGTTCGATGCCTGCCCCTCCTCCGACACATCCCCGCGGGGCGGGGGGGCTCTCGCCAGTCGGGAAAAGCGGAGAGTGGAGGTGTGGAGGAGGGGGGGAGGGAGGGGGGAGGAGGCAAAGATGACTTGCGGGTGCACGGAGGCCCCTACAGTAGAGGCCCGACCACAAGAAACCTTCCACAAGAAACCCAACCCTGAGACTCCAGGACGCCCATTGATTTTTGGTGTGGGAAGGTCACGCTTTCCCAAGAGTAACCTTCGAATCCAAAGAGACCCAGGGCACCCTGGAGTCAAGCAGGGTGTTTCTTGGCATGGGCCCCCACTGCAGTGAACGCCAGACATGCGACGGCCCACTTTTTTTGTGTCTCTTCGACATTGCGTCATGTCAAACTGCTTACTGGCCAGAGAATATTCGAGCCGGCGTCGCCGAGGCGCCGTCCGGACCAGCTCTGTCTCCCCGTCTACCCAAAGCCCGCCCCGCAGATCAAGGCGTGGTCGCCTGCTTCGCTCCCTAGTCCCCGATCGGGTTGATCTGCTTCGCGATGGCCGTGGGGCACTGGAACTTCAGGTGGAGCTGGCGGGCCTTGTCGTCCGAGAAGGCCTGCCTGCAGTGCGGGCACTTGAACTGGCCATCCAGCTTGATCCCAACGTTCTCGAGCGTGCCGTTGCCCGACACCGCCTCCTTGCTGATCTCCAGCGTCTCCGGCATTGCTGTTGCGGCGCGGATGCCAAGCTGAGCGCGCTGAACTTATTCCTTCACACCTCTTGAGCTTGAGCCAAAACTGCTTGAGCCAAAATGGCTACGGAGACATGCGACGGCCCTCTTGGGCACCAGGATGCCGCCCAGGCCTCAGAGATGGCACGAAGCGGCGGCCCAAAAGAGAGGCCCCCCTGGCGCCATGCACTGTTTCCACACGTTTTGCTCCCGTGTCCGTTCGTCCCAAGGTGGCCACATCAGAACTCACGAGGACCCCAGATGGCCACAGGGGCCCATGAGCGCCCGAAGCAATCCCCACAATGGCCCGAGAGGGCGCAAAAAAGCTACCATTGGGGGCCAGTATGGCCAAAGAGCCGCCAAGATGGCACCGTACAGCGCTCAGGCTGCCAAGGAGAGCTCCCAGAGAGCCCCGAGACACCTCAAGATGGCCACAAGAGGCATCAGGACGCCCCAAGAGGGCCCAGACTGCCCAAGAAGTGCCGACAAGGCCCCTAGAAACATAGCAACACTCCCCCCTCCATTCTCTCCCTCGTCTCCTCCTACGTCCACTCCTCTCTCCTTCCTCACCTACTCGCCCCCTCCCCACAGAGGCCTGAGACCGACAAGTTCGGACCTTCACAAGCTGCTGCATTCCACGGGCCCACCTGCCTGCACATCAGCATCCAACATGTTCGAGGCCTTTGTTGACCACTGCGGGCGCTGACGCGGGCGAGTGGAGCGGAGCAGAGGGGGAGTGAAGGACAACGAAGAGTGGGCAGAAACCCACGGTAGACCAACCGCACATCACCACGGTCAAGAGCTATCGCTCAGCGTGTCGCGGCGGCAACCCCGGAGACACGCTGTGCCCTGCCAGCGGGCAGCGTGCCGCTCCGCTCCGCGCGGCGGGAGGCTGGGCGAGGCTCGGGTGGCAGGCGACTGGCGGGTCGCGCCGAGGCGTGGCGCCGACCAGACCCGGCGGCGCGACACGCTGAGCACACACACGCCCCAGACCGCAGTGCTGCAACGCATCCCTGGCCATCGCTCGGACGTCCATTCCCTGTTTTTCTTCTCGGTTTCGTGCGTGATTTTTCCGCCAAGTGATCAAGGATGCTCCTCGATGGTCCTCGCCGAGGAAAGAACGCACACGTCCGAGCGATGCCAAGATCCTGCCGTCACACGTCCACCCCTCTCGTAGCTCATTGCGCAGGAGGCGCCCCGCACCGCGGCGAACGCCGAGCTGGAGCAGCCGTGCGCGCCACCCCGGTGGGTACCCGCCACGCGGCGACCGCCGTCCACGCGAGGACGCGGCGCGCTCGTGCCGCGCTCGCTCGGCGGAAGACCGCTGGGCGCGCCTCGACTTCACCGCCTCGATCTCCTTCTGATTCCGTTCGTCCCACTCCTCCGAGGCGTCCTCCACGCTGTCGGTCCCCTCAATGGGCTCAGTGCGCGCGGATCGGGTTCGTGAAACTGGGCTTTTGTCCTCGGCCTGCACGTTCGCGTTCTGCTGCGGCCGCATCCGCTGCACTGTCGGAGCGCATTTCTATCGACGTGCTGTGCTCGGACACAATACCAGCGTGCGCTTCCTCACGCGCCCCAGTGCTGCACGCAGTTCATGCGGGTCGCTATCACTCGTGGCGGGGACAACACAGTAAGGAACGTGCAGCGCGAAAATGCAATACCTGCACCTTGCAGGTAACACATGTTTCATCCCAACGGTTGCTGACCTGAAGGAGCGAACGACGACGACGGTGACGACGCCGAAACGAAGGTCGCTTTCAGAACTCCGCAGACGCAGGTGGTGGTGAGGGGCCGCCCTGGTTGACTGGGTGCGCGAGCATGCCAAGCAAAGACAAAACCAATCGTGTGGAAAACCAAATGATGTGACAGATGGGCAATTCCGGAAACCATGATTCCAAAAACGTTTTCATCCCTTGGGGGCGCACCTTGTACTTCCGCCGCCTTCCGCCGAGCTTTCGGCGGCTTCCACCGGCGGAGGCGGCCTCGTTTTGCCTCCGCCGACCTTCCGTCGCCCTTCCGCCGCCCTTCCGCCGCGGAAGAGCTGGCAAGTCCTGCGATCCTCGAGGGCGCAGCTGTTTTGGAACGCCCCATGTGTTCTGGCGGTTGACCTATACGTCCCCGAACACATTCAGCGAAGAGGCCGGATGGCAAGTGGCGGCCCTGCACCAAGGTCCCAGAAGGAGAAGGAGGAGGAAGAGGAGGAGGGGGAGGAGGAGGAGGAGGAGGAGGAGGAGGAGGACGAGGAGGAGGAGCAGGGGAGGAGGAGGAGACGAGCGTAGAAAGGGGGAGGAGGATATGATATGATATGATATGATATGATATGCGCTTGGGGGGCGTGTCTCCCTCGCCTCCGCGGGCCAGCACGCCTCACATCAGCATCTTGCTCCTGCCCCCTGCGAATGATATGGACTGGCCCCGCTTGGCGACACTTCCTGCCGTCGGAGCGGACCTGCGGCGGCCGCCTGGCGCCCACAAGACGTCGAAGCGGTGCCGCGTCGGCACGGGGGAACTCTCGCCTCGTGTCGATGGTGGGGGTGGCCTGCCTCCTCTGGGCGCAGCCTCCCCCTAACGCCTCTCTCTCTGCCGCTCTGCTGTCTCCAGCAACTGCCGTGCACGGACACTGCCAGCTGCCGCCATCCTCCTCAGCCGCTCGAGCTGCACGATGGTCAGGGCCGTCGCGCCGCTCAGCCGCGCATCCTCTGCAGCCCTTGCATTTGTCGCTCCACCACCCTGGTCAGCTCGTCCTTTGGCGCGGGCCCGTCCGACTGCACTCCGCCCGCCTCCTCGAGGGCCAGCATCATCGCCCTCCTCAAGATTCCCAGGCTCGGTACGTCGCCCTCCGTCTTCACCTTCAGGCACTCTATGAGCATCGCCACGTCTGCCAGGGGATTGAGGTTGAAGCTCACCTTCACCTTGACGTCCTTCTCCGCCGTTCCCTCCTCGTTGTACGCCTCCTTCACTCTGAAACTGCCGAAAACCTCCTTCACGAACTTCATGCCCTTCTCCGTGTGGAACAGCCTCTGGTACGCTTGGAGCACCGCCTTGTGCTGGCCCTCCTGTGCGTCCTCTACCAGCCCGTCGAACGCTCCCGCGGCCACGTGCAGGTAAGGCGCCCCCAATCCGTGGCCCTTGCCCCTCTTCGCCACCGCCGCGTAGTAGTCGAGGCCCGCCTCGAGGCCCATCTGGCAGATCTTGCTCTTCTTGGTCATCATGTAGAACAGGGACAACATGTGTTCGTGCTCTCGGGCGCGCTGGTCCTGCCTCAGCCCCATCTTCTGGAGCGACACCATCGCGTCCACCAGGTCGACCTCGTCCGAGCCCCCGCCGCGCTTGCCCCCGCCCAGGCGCTGGTACTTGGGCGCTGGTGGGTGAATCTTGCCTCCTTTGCCGAGCGCCGCCCCTCCCGCCTGAGCGCCTTGGGCGGCTGGGTGCGCGGGCGCGGGCTGAGGCCCTCGCGAGCCTGCTGAGGTCCCAGCGCCTGGTACTCCTCCCTCTGCGGCGTGGGCCCCCGTCACTCTCCACGCCATCGCATCCTCTGTCTTCTGCGTCACGAGTGAAGCGAGCCCGATCAGGCCCAGGGTGGTGAGTGGTAACATGGGCCTGCAGCGCTTCCAAGCTTTGAGCCTGAATGTAACATACGGGGCACTCCAGACTCTTAGGTTGCACCACATCGTGCTTCCACGGGCTGAAGTTGACGAAACATACCTTCCTGTCTTCACACGCCGAGTACACATGTTGGACGGCCACGTCTCTGTTGGAGAAAGTGCTTCGGCACCACGGGCATTGATTTGTTACCGTCAGCAGACTCAACAACGCCCTCTGTCCGTGCTGGCACGTTTTGTGTGTTGTAAGACCGCTGTAAGTTTTGCACCGTTTCCCACATACGTGCTCCTCCCCGCCGTCCCCCTTCACCACCTCCTCACATACGTACTGCTTCTCCTCCTCCAGCTCCTCCTCCTGTAGATCCGCAGTGCAGATATTGTGTACCTTCATGTTCATGCGTAGTATGTCCACATCAGTGCACAGCCAGCATCGGTGGTCCTCAGTCCCCCACTGTAGTATAGATATGTCAGATTCCCTGTCGTCGTACCAACTCATGTCTTCACACTGTTGACGCAAATACTGAAGGTCCTGCAAGTACTGGTACGCCCACGGCGTACTGTAGGTGCTAATCCTCCCCTCCTCTAGCCTAGGTGTGCCGTGCCTCAGGTCCAGGGGCGTCGACCCGAACACTGCCGCCGTCACCTGCGAGTGCGCCTCGGGAAACGCCGCCCACTTCTGGTACCATTTAAGCCTTCGAATCCTCAGCTCGTCCGAAGCACGGTTTATCTTCCACTTCCTAAACACCTCCTCTTTTCTTAGTTGTCGCACGTTTCCGTCCTGCTCTTGCCACGAACACTTCCCCTGCGCCAGGCACCTCAGCATTTTGCACAAAGCCGTGTCGATCGCATCAGTCAGACGAGGTTCGAGCACCATACTAACAAGTCCGCTCAATGCCGCCCCTTGCACGAAGGCGATGAACATCATTCTACGTACTTCCCTGGGAGTCTCGGATTTCCAGAACACTCCTGCAATCCTCCACGCCTTCCTAGCAGCGGCGATCCTCCTCCTAATCTCTCCTCCTAGATTGCCCGTCGTGTGTAGATGTGGTCCTAGCACCCGAAGCTCTCGTCCCGTCTCCCCCATCACTCCGTTGTTTTTGCTTCTGAGCTTTCTCGTAATGCCCTGCCACCCTTCGCCCATGATGCTTAACATGTGTCCTGTCTTTGATGGATTGAGGTGCCAGCCCCCTCCCTCCAGCAATTTTTCCTCCAACCTCTTCGTCATAAGATTGAGCTCTGCAGCAATACCGTAGCTAGTAACCCCACCCTCCCACATAGACAGTTTCGTCACATCATCCATGAACGTGCATATCGACAGATTCGAATACCTCTTCGTCACCGGGCAGAGAGCCTTCAGCAGCCTGTTTGCATCGTTTGGGTCTTCTGCAAGCCACGCGGCGATAACAGGATTGTAGCAATCGTTGAAGTCCCTAGGGGCTAAGCAGAAGCCCATCTGCGCGCCCGTCGTACTGATCATGTCTGCCCTCCCATTGCTCCCTGCGATGCTCATGGCTTGGTGCTGGACTGCCCCCAGTGCAAACATTTCATCACTTTCTGCTGACTGTCGTGCAACCGTGGCCTCCAGAACGTCTCTCCGTGTACTGGCGAATGCATTTGTGCAGTCGAAATTGGTCGTCACATATGGTATTTGTACTTGCCTGCACCTCCACTGAGCTGATTGTAATGTGACCAGTGCACTCTCACGCGACCTGTGCTTTAGGCCACCGTGGGCCCAGTCTGGCCTTTCAACCTCGAGCGCCCTTTCATGGATTCCAGCGTGCCACGCCAGACCCCACGAGCAGTAGCTGTGCATCAGTCGTTGTCCTGCAATTCCTTCTTTGCCATTGTTTTTGCTGGACGAAAAACTCTGGGCCCGTAGCGTGTCCAGCGGCATGCACTGCGCACGTCTCACAAGCACAAACCACTTGTCCAGTTGTGTCTGAAAGAATGGTGCCGCTTGACCGCTCGTGAATCTCTGGCTCCCTATTCCAGCCCCCTTCGCACGTCCAAACACCCAGTGCTCATCTTCTATAATCTCCTGTGGTGCCTGCCCCTCCTCCCTCTGCCTCCTGCCTAGGCCCTCGCCACTCTTCCATCCCATCTTCTCCAGCAGTCTCCTTCCTTTCTCCATCCTCCTCACCTCCGTCTGCCTCAGCAAATCCTCCTCGTCCTCCTCTTGCTCCGCCCTGTCGTGAGCCGCTTTTGCCATTGCTTCAGACCGTTTGTGTGGCTGTTCCATGTACACTGTCGGCGCAAGTAGCAGTAGTGATGCCTCGCTGGGAAGCCCCCAGCTTGGCCAAGCCCGTCGTTTCTTGCATTTCCTGAGATACTTTTCCATGGCATATCTGTCTTGTCGTACCAGGTCCCTCAGATCGACATCATCGAACAATAGCTCACCGTGGGCTTCGCACTCTGCCTCGTACTCTGCCCGTGTCTCCTCCCACTCCACTGTTTTGCATGCCATTCCACCCTCATACGGTGGACGCTCCAGTTCAGTAGCCCATTCCTCCTTGCTCCAGTAGGTCCTACTTGCATAATAGTACCGTTTCTTGGGCCCCCGTCCGTTTCTAGCGTATTCCACACGTAGAGCATGCATCTCCGCCCACCTACCCCCTAGATACGCTTCCCATATTTCCGTGGCAAGTTCCTCCTGTCGTCTTTTAGTTTCCGTCCTCCTGTTGTCTTTCAGAGCCGCCGACACCTGCCGTAGCATCTCCTGCACGTGCTCGAGTTCCTCCTTCTCCTCCTCCCTGCACCGCCCCTCACCCTCCCTCAGTCCTCGCCTTTTGTCCAGCAGCATCATCCTGGCGTCCCGCAGTTCTTTCAGCCACTCGGGCAGCTCCCGCCTCCGAGGCGGGAATACCTCCTTGAGCGCGGTCCTCACTGCCCCACCTAG